ATTAGGAGAGAATTTTATTTTAAAAGTGTCAACTTAACCTGCAGGGTGTCGTTAAACATCACAATTAAACATGCCAAAGGAGAAGACAATGTTGTCAAAATCCCCACTTAACCTACCTAAACATCTCAAACTTACCTTTTGCTGACGTTCTATAACCCCATTTTTAAAGTTTTTTTCCTTTTTTTTTTTTAACAACAGAAAGTAGACAGATACATGTTGGTAAGTGCTAACTGTCCATATTTACATAGAAACACAGTGTAATCTCTGAGCCCAATATACAGAGAAAGGAGGGAAAACTAGCATTCTGTGCACTACTACACAGGGCTAAGGGAGCAGAAGATTTTTCTTTTTTCCCACAGAGCACAGGGGTGTTGATTCCATAAAATTTTGTTGTGACAGGAAGGGATAAAAATGAATTTGGACAGAAGAAAGAGAAATTAAGGAGTCGATCCCATTTACAAATGCACCCAAACCCATAAGATACCTAGGAATAAATCTAACCAAAGAGGCAAAGAATCTGTACTCAGAAAACTATAAAATACTCATGAAAGAAATTGAGGAAGACACAAAGAAATGGAAAAATGTTCCATGCTCATGGATTGGAAGAACAAGTATTGTGAAGATGTCAATGCTACCTAGAGCAGTCTACACATTCAATGCAATCCCTATCAAAATACCATCCACTTTTTTCAAAGAAATGGAACAAATAATCCTAAAATTTGTATGGAACCAGAAAAAACCCCAAATAGCCAGAGGAATGTTGAAAAAGAAAAGCAAAGCTGGTGGCATCACAATTACGGACTTGAAGCTCTATTACAAAGCTGTCATCATCAAGACAGTGTGGTACTGGCACAAAACCAGACACATAGATCAATGGAACAGAATAAGGTGCCCAGAAATGGACCCTCAACTCTATGGTCAACTAATCTTCAACAAAGCAGGAAAGAATGTCCAATGGAAAAAAGACAGTCTCTTCAACAAATGGTGTTGGGAAAATTGGACAGCCACATGCAGAAGAATGAAACTGGACCATTTCCTTACACCACACACAAAAATAGACTCAAAATGGATGAAAGACCTAAATGTGAGACAGGAGTCCCATCAGAATCCTAGAGGAGAACACAGGCAGCAACCTCTTCAACCTCAGCCGCAGCAATTTCTTCCTAGAAACATTGCCAAAGGCAAGGGAAGCATGGGCAAAAATGAACTATTGGGACTTCATCAAGATAAAAAGCTTTTGCACAGCAGAAGAAACAGTCACCATAACCAAAAGACAACCGACAGATTGGGGGAAGACATTTGCAAATTACATAACAGATAAAGGGCTAGTATCCAAAATCTATAAAGAACTTATCAAACTCAACACCCAAAGAACAAATAATCCAATCAAGAAATGGGCAGAAGACATGAACAGACATTTTTCCAAAGAAGACATCCAAATGGCCAACAGACATGTGAAAAAGTGCGCAACATCACTTGGCATCAGGGAAATCCAAATCAAAACGTCAATGAGATACCACCTCACACCAGTCAGAATGGCTAAAATTAACAAGTCAAGAATTGACAGATGCTGGCGGGAATGTGGCGAAAGGGGAACCCTCCTACACTGTTGGTGGGAATGCAAGCTGGTGCAGCCATTCTGGAAAACAGTATGGAGGTTCCTCAAAAAGTTGAAAATAGAGCTACCATATGACCCAGCAGTTGCACTACTGGGTATTTACCCCAAAGATACAAATGTAGTGATCCGAAGGGGTACATGCACCCCGATGTTTATAGCAGCAATGTCCACAATAGCCTAACTATGGAAAGAACCAAGATGTCCATCGACAGATGAATGGATAAAGAAGACGTGGTATATATATACAATGGAATATCATGCAGCCATCAAAAGGAATGAAATCTTGCCATTTGCAACGACGTGGATGGAACAGGAGGGTATTATGCTGACCGAAATAAGTCAATCAGAGAAAGACATGTATCATATGACCTCACTGATATGAGGAATTCTTAATCTCAGGAAACAAACTGAGGGTTGCTGGGGTGGTGGGGGGTGGGAGGAATGGGGTGGCTGGGTGATAGACATCGGGGAAGGTATGTGCTATGGTGAGTGCTGTGAATTGTATAAGACTGATGAATCACAGACCTGTACCTCTGAAACATAATACATTATATGTTAAAACACAGAAGAAGATAGTAGGAAGGGAAAAATGAAGGGGGGAAATCAGAGGGGGAGACGAACCATTAGAAACTATGGACTCTGAGAAACAAACTGAGGGTTCTAGAGGGGAGGGGGGTGGGGGGATGGGTTAGCCTGGTGATGGGTATTAAAGAGGGCATGTATTGAATGGAGCACTGGGTGTTATACGCAAACAATGAATCATGGAACACTACATCAAAAACTAATGATGTAATGTATGGTGATTAACATAACATAATAAAATAAAAAAATGAATTTGGAATAGAAAGGGGGAGAGATTCTTTTCCCAGTGTATTCTGCTCAAGGTATTTCCTTCCAAAATAAGTTGAGAACCATGGTATAAAGAGAGAGAAGAGGTTTCAAAAAACAGGGCAAATAAACACAAGAGCAAGACTGCAGCTTGCTCCCAGGGACTAGAGAAAATTCAAAAAGGAAGGTTGGAATCCATCAGTGTTTCATTAGTCATCCTCTCCTTCATCTTCTTCTTCTCCCTCATCATCATCTTCATCTTCTTCACCTTCATCCTCATCTCCTTCATCAATATCTTCCAGTCCTTCATCATCATTGTCTTCTCCTCCTTCCCCTTCTTCATCATCCATATCAGGAACCAAGTAGTACTGTAATGGATTTGGCCAAATATCATCTTCAATGACCTCTCCTAACTCATCTGCACCTTCATCAGAATGGTCAGTAAAGCAGATGCACATGCTCTCTGGTTTCTCAGGCTGTCTCTTCCTGCTGGCTTTATTCTGTGTTTGACTTGAATGTCTCATCAAATCCTTTCCAGATTTCCATTTGATTTCAGTGGACTTTGAAGATAGATCACCACTCTCATGCAGATGAAATTCTTTGGAGAGAACTTTATTTTCAAAGTAAGAGTTTTCATCAAAATAAAAATCTATTCTGTAACCTGATTTAGTATCTTCAAATTGTGTCGCTTCAACTCTTGTCAAATAATGCAGTGCCTCTTCATCTTCCTTCCAAACAGTACAGATACTTGTGGATCATTGACAAATGTTGTTACCCCCAAATTTGGGATTTTGGCAATCAATTCCAGTCTCTTTGAAAAAATGGGTAGTGGAGTTTGTTATATTTCTCTTCTACTTTCAAAATCTCCTCACTGGCTTGTTCATTAAGTCTGTCTATTTCATCTTGTACTTCATCAATATGTTCAGTTGCTTCTTGCTATTCTGTTTCTCCCTTCAGCAAGTGATGAGAGATCGATATCTCCTCTGGCTTGGAGGCAGGAGGCAGTCTCAGTTTCTTTGTTTGAGGCAGGATCAAAGACTGGTGTTTGGGGGTCATGCTGTGTGGAAAGCCCGTGAAACAAGGGCAGACACATGTCTGCAAGAAGCTCCAATTACTCTTTCTTGTTGTTCTATGAACACTCCAAATGTTCTCCTACCCTTAGGGCCTTTGCAGTTGCTGAAATTCTCTTCCTCACTCCTGTCAAGTCTTGACTCAAGAGATGCCATCTCAGAAAGTATTTTCTTGGGCATCTTATGTAATCTCCTTCCTTGATTTATTTTTCTTTAGTGCTTAGCAATATTTAATAGACCATATATTTAAACTTATTTATATTGGTTATTTTCTACAATCCCCAGAATTTAATCTGGACAGGATTTTTTTTGGTTCAGTATTGTACCCCCAATGTGTATATTAATGCTTTACTTATAGTATGCATTCAATATTTGTTGAAGAAATTAATCACCTATGACCTATTCCACAAAAATGAAATAAAATTATCAGCTTATTCAAGGCAGAATGCTAGATTGAGTTCAGAATAGGAAATGTGAAGTAATTATTTTGGCTTAAAATTTAACAAATATAAACAGTTTAAGAAAATGAGCATTCATCCACAGCTTGTTGGAGTTTAACTTGGTCAGCCATTCTAGAGGACTATGTAAGAATTGTTAAAAGTCTATGAAAAGGAACAAATACTAAGAATTCTGCTTCTTGGAATTTATTCTGCTAAAATGAGTAACTATGGTTCTTGGTACAAGCATGTTTATTTCACAATAGTTTCATAAAACTGCAAACTGGGTAAACCTACAAAAATGAGAGTGATTTGGTAAACTATGGTATTAGTTAAGTTAAACAGTGGAATACTATGTAACCATTAAAAAGTTGCATTGTAGATTAATTTGTCATAAAAAGGTGCTTGTCATATATTAAGTAAAAATGGGTCACAAAATAGTATATATATTATTATTCCCTCCCCACTGGATCTCTTTTAAAGTATAAATGCATAGAAAAATAACGAAGTATCAAAGTATTAATGATTGTTATTTCTGGGTTGTGAGATGGTTTGTTTAAAACTTTTTACCCTATGCTTTTTCATTTTATCAAATTTTCTTCAATGAAGAGCTGATACTAAGTAGCAAACTCTCCTGGACTGCTCTTGCTATCCTGCTTGCTTTATTTTCCATCATAGTAGTTGTCACTCTCTAACCTTTGTACTTTTTACCTATATTTTATTGTCTGTCTACCAGTACCCCCACTAGACAGAAAGCTTCTAAAGGTCAGGGATTTGTTTAGTTCAGTGCCGTATCCCAGAGTCCTAAGGAAAGTGACTGGTATATAGTAGGTGCTCCATAAATATGTGTTGAATAATTAGTGAATATATTGTTTTTGTTATACAGAAGAAAGTTATGGTAAATAACACCTTGAAAAAAATGTCCCAAGGAAAAAATAGTGCATAGGAAATAAGCACCACATTTTATAGCATACAATTTTAATATCAGGAGGAATTTGTAACAGATAAGTGCAGAATTGTAATGAATTTTCTCTTTGTTTTTTCAAGGTTTCTAAATATTCTTTACAGAAGAAAGTAAGTGAAATGGTAAGGAGATTACAAAATATACACCTACTTCCCAGATTAGCACATAATATTGTAGTATCTTTGTCAATGTAAATGTGGCATTTATATTAAAATAAGTTGAAACTGGGTATTAATATTTCCTTTAAAGGACTGAATTACCGTTTCAAGTATAGCTTAAATGAATTTACTTCACAAATTTATTTCTGGATTACATAGTGTTTACATATTACAAAATAATTTAACCCAGTTCCCAGATTATTGGTAGAGAGCTTATTTTAATATCAAAGAACAAGGAAATAAGAACAACAAAACCTATTATTTTATTATCTTTTCTAGGTATTTATGCAAACATGTAGTTATTAATGATTGCCTGAAAAATTAAAATAATACGAAGTTGCATTTGAATATGACACTTGGGATATGGTACTCATTCTTTATCATTCAACAAGTGTTTGTTGTGTCTTCCTCTTCTGTAGTATATTAAAAATTAATATTTACATTTTTATAGCATAATATTTTATGGAATATTTATTTTGCTATCCTCTCTTCCTATCCCTGTTTGATTCAGAAGAATTTTTTTCTGTATTTTTGATCGAGCAGAATTCTCCCATATCCACTTAAATCTTCTGAGGGCTTTTTGGGTGGACTTATGCTATTTCAATCTTCCTTCTTTGGAGCAGACTATAAGACAAGTAAAAGTAATTTTTGAGTGAAGTTTATATATTGTATGTATGAGAAGTAAGAAATGAGAGATCACTTCTTATTAAATACAGAAAAATAAAGTATGTTTTGCTTCGTGAAATTGTTTTTGATGTATTAGAAAATAAAAGAGCCTTAGAAAGATTGCTAAGCTTGATTGAATAAAAGATGTGAAAATTCTGTCGCTGTTCAACTGGAAAGAATAAAGATAATATTGTCAGACTATTTTAAACTATGATTTTAATTAAGCTGAAAAACTAGATTCTGGTTTAGCTTTAAGTACCATGACATTTGTACTGAAAGTCATCTTCAACGCTACAGTGGTTTTACACAAAATATAGTGAAATTGAATAATGTGTCCTCTGACCTGGGAGATAAGGCTACAAGTTAAAGATCAAAGGCAACATAAAATGTGTTTTATTTTATTCCACTTTAAAATTTCATCAGATACTTACAGTCTTAGAAAAAATGAAAACAAGTTTTTAGTCACTGCTGAGTATTTTGTTAATGTGAATGACAACCTCTTAAAAACCTTCTAAAATGATATTTTATAGTGACAGTGTTTTTTCTGACAATTCAAAGCATTAAATTTTGCATTAAAATAATTGTATATATTGATATGTACAATTGATATTTTATGCCCATTCTGACAGAATATTAAATGTATTTTAGATAATTGATTTTAAAAATCTTTTTCCTAAACATTCTTATATTATTTCTATGTATTTCAAATGACCTTTATTCAAAGTACTATATTCAGTAATTAAGTTAATCTTATTTTATTAAAATCATTTTTCTTTTGTGTAACTTAATTCTATGGGCAAGACAGGAAACAAAATGGTCACTGTGTCAAGGCAGGATTTTGGGAAGCTACTGATTAAGTGTCCAGAAAGAAATAATTTTTAAAACAGTATTAAGAAAATTGTAAAGAAGTTCATGATCTCCTATAGGTGAGCCCTTAGTTACTAGTAAATTTCTGTGTTTTGGGAATTCAGTAAGCTGATTTTTGTGTAGAGGTGGTAATATGTCTCTAGATAAATTAATACAATTATGAACTGAAGGATTCACCTAGCTCTAAAAGTACCCTAACCTTCTATTGAACAAATGATCACATTGATCATTACCAGTAGAAAGAATGCAAAAAAGTAATAATAAAAATAAACTATAGAAGGGGCGCCTGGGTGGCTCAGTAGTTAAGCATCTGCCTTCGACTCAGGTTATGATCTCAGGGTCCTGGGATCAAGCCCTGCATCGGGCTCCCTGCTCAGCGGGAAGCCTGCTTCTCCCTCTCCCACTCCCTCTGCTTGTGTTCCCTCTCTCACTATATCTCTCTCTGTCAAATAAATAAATAAAATCTTTATTAAAAAAAACTAGAACATCAAATTAACTATTATTTTGATTTGGTGATTGATGAAAATCTTTCCTGTTGTGTTCTCATAATTACTGTATCAGGTGACTATGTTTTGTAATGAGTAGCTGATAAGACTTAATAAATGAAGTAAAAACATATCCAACCATTTCTTAGTTATGTTTTATTTATTTATTTATTTATTTTTTTAAAAAGATTTTATTTATTTATTTGAGAGAGAGAGAATGAGATAGAGAGCACGAGAGGGAAGAGGGTCAGAGGGAGAAGCAGACTCCCTGCTGAGCAAGGAGCCTGATGCGGGACTCGATCCCAGGACTCCAGGATCATGACCTGAGCCGAAGGCAGTCGCTTAACCAACTGAGCCACCCAGGCGCCCATGTTTTATTTTTTTGTATATCACTTTCCTCTAAAGCAAAGACTTACAGAAAGATTTATTTTTCTTTATTAAATTAAAGTTTGAATACTGAAGGTTTCATATGATTTAAAATTACCACATTTTTTCCTTTCATAGTAAAATTTTTTAGAATGAAGACTTGTCTGGAAATAATCTTCATAATTATAAATATAATTTGTATCTGTACACACAAACTATTAGTGTAACTTTAAGTTAGTTTTTTAAGTATTACATACCTTATCTTTGTGACTAAAAAAGGTAAAAATATCTTAAGAAGGATGCCATAGGTTTTTTAAAAAGTGAGTTTTATAATCCCATTGATTTATTTTGGGGTCATAGTGAAGAAATTGAAAGGTAGGTTGCAAAATAGATTTGAAGAATGTATGAAGTTTCTTCTTGTTTTTATCTTTAAAATTTACTTTAATGAATTAATTATTTTAAGGGAAATTAACTTTATTCCCAAAGGTTTTCAAATTGGTCTCTATAAGGAAATAAGAGGGAAATGAGCAGCTATGCCTTTTATTAGTAAATGTAATTGTAAAAAGTTGTGTGTAAATACTATTTTTAAATTATTCCTATTTTAAATGCCTCGAAGTTTTAATGTAATCTTTTAGACCACACACATGTGCACACACATGCACCTGTACACTTCACTCTTAATTATGCAGATACTGTCTTCTTTTCCTCTAACCTTGTTTTTCATGGATTAAGTTTGTTAAAATTTAAGTTTGCATTTGGAAAGCAATGAATCCTAACATTTTCTTTGGATAGAGTTTTTGCATTTAGTAATAAAATTGTGTAAAAGAAGAAAATAGCTTGAACCAATTCACAGGGGTAAAAAGAACAAAAACATTATGTCCTTAACTGTTTCTTAGTCATCTTAATAAAATTATCTTTACCATGATATAGTATGTAATATTAAAGTTTTAATAACAATGCTATAAATTATTTATATTATTCTTTAAAATGTTCTTGGCTTTCTCAGGCAAGTGATACCAATCTGTTTTTGTTGTTGCTTCCCAAAGAATTGAAGCTATTTGCTGACATGTGATTAGCAGCAAACTTGACAACCGGCCTCTTCATCTCATTATCAAAACTAAATCAGAGCAGCCAAGTAGGTTCATATATGAACAGCCCTATATGGGCCTATATGGGCTAATGAGCTATGTGTGCCCATGTAATTTGAAAGTCTTTATAATATCATGGCCATTGAATTGGTTAATGTATTTGAAAATCAGAATTATGTCATGCAAACAAAACTTCATTTTAATTGAATTGGCTTTGGCTTTAAGCAAAGGATGTTGAAATAATAGAGTATATCATAAATTATTCTTTTTTTCTTTAAATTTTTTATTGTTATGTTAATCACCATACATTACATCATTAGTTTTTGATGTAGTGTTCCATGATTCATTGTTTGTGCATAACACCCAGTGCTCCATGCAGAACGTGCCCTCTTTAATACCCATCACCAGGCTAACCTATTCCCCCACCCCCCTCCCCTCTAGAACCCTCAGTTTGTTTCTCAGAGTCCATCATCTCTCATGGTTTGTCTCCCCCTCCTATTTACCCCCCTTCATTCTTCCCCTCCAGCTATCTTCTTTTTTTTTTTCTTAACATATATTGCATTATTTGTTTCAGAGGTACAGATCTGTGATTCAACAGTCTTGCACAATTCACAGCACTCACCATAGCACATACCCTCCCCAATGTCTATCATCTAGCTACCCCATCCCTCCCACCCCACCCTCACTCCAGCATCCCTGTTTGTTTCCTGAGATTAAGAATTCCTCATATTAGTGAGGTCATATGATACATGTCTTTCTCTGATTGACTTATTTCACTCAGCATAACACCCTCCAGTTCCATCCACGTCGTTGCAAATGGCAAGATCTCATTCCTTTTGATGGCTGCATAATATTCCATTGTGTATGTATATATATATCACATCTTCTTTATCCATTCATCTGTTGATGGACATCTTGGCTCTTTTATCACAAATTATTCTAATGTGTATAGAGCTCTATGTATGTAGAGAAAACCAATTAAATCACTTTAATCTTTACTGCAGTTTTAGTTATTAGGATTATTAATCTTTACAGGCATTAACAGCCTATTTACCGTTTTTTTAACGGGAGATCAGAGAAGCCTATATATATGTAATGGACAATATTCTCATAAAGGCTACATAAAAATTGATCAAAGCTGAAAAATTGAAAAATTCCTTGACCACAATGCTATGAAACTAGAAGTCAACCACAAGAAAAAATCTGGAGACCACAAATATATGGAGGTTAAATACCATGGTACTAAACAATGAATGGGTCAACCAGGAAATAAAAGAAAAAAACGTACATGGGAACAAATGAAAATGAAAACACAACAGCCCAAAAGCTTTGGGTGCAGCAAAAGCAGTTCTAATAGGGAAGTGTTTAGCAATATAGGACTATCAAACAACCTAACCTTACACCTAAAGCAACTAGAAAAAGAACAACGACAAAACCTAAAACCAGCAGAATGAAGGAAAAAATAAAGATTAGAGCAGAAATAAATGATCTA